TTAAAAGTCAGGGGTACAAGTAGCCAAGTAGCCAAGTAGCCAAGTGTTAGCTTAGAACAGGAAGCTTTCTTGACTATGGAACATCCCCCCCTCAAATCTTCTCCATAACATGGAGGGGGGGGTTTTCTGTTCTGCAGTTCATTTAGATGAACTTAGCAGGGCTGATAACACTGTTTGAGGTTTGAAAAAAAGTTCACTGGATTTCTGGTGGGTTAAGCCCATACTTTCTGTGCTTACTGAACCTATATAACAAAATGCTTTCATTACTGTATATTTAACAAACCAAAAAAAGAGCAAATAAGGGAGGTTTATTGTTAAGGTTTACATACACATTAACGCTGTCTATATAAAATACTTACATACCAGGTCTGTTTTTTTTCCAGCCGCAATCCTTGACGATCAGACTATTTGCGGGCGTGGCGAGAGGTTGGCACTTGCGCTCGCTCGAGAACATATCAACAGCCACACGCAAGGAGGGTCCAACGCTCGGGTTGAAGTGGAGATCTTTGAATTGCAGAGAGACAGTCAGTACGAGACTACAGATACAAGTGAGTATCAAAATGTCTAGTTTCATCTAGTTTTAACTAGGGTGGTGCTGTGGACATCTTGATTTCAAGAAAGCATCTGACACAGTTACACATAATGATCCAATAAAAAAGTAGTACAAGCTTGGACTTAAAACCCTTGGGTAGATTAGTGGATAGCAGTTGGCTAAAGGATAGATACCAGAGTGTGGTTGTAAATGTGGTTCATTCGGGAACAGAGACCAGTCACTAGAGGTGTACCGCAAGGCTCTGTACTAGGTTCTGTTTAATCTATATGTATGTGATATAACTAAAAAAGGTTTTGTGAGTAAGGTATGTCTTTTTGCCGATAACGCAAAGGTGTGCAATAAAGTTGATATCCCTGGAGGTGTTTGTAACATGGAACATTATTTGGCATTGCTGGAAAATTGGTCAAAGCAGTGGAAACAGTAGTTCAATATTTCTAAATGTAAACTAACGCACCTGGGGAAAAAGAATGCCTTGATAGAGTACAATAATGGGGGTTCAGTGATGGCCAGAACTACAAAGGAAAAAAATTTGGGGAACTTATTTCAGATGATTGCAAAATGAGGAAACAGTGTGACCAGGCAGCGGAAAAAGCCAATAGGATGCATCACTAAAGAGTTCACCAGCAGGAGGAAGGAGGTCCTGATTCCTATTTATAGCTCTTTAGTTATCACAAGAGGGCTCACCAACATGAGTCAGAAGATCCTAATTCTCCTATATAGATCTTTAATTAGACCTTTGCTTAGCCTATTGATTATGCAGTTTTTCTTTCCTTCCACCACAGAAAATGGCTTGATTCTCCCATCAACACAGTCAGCGTTGATGGGGGAATCCCTCCCAAAGCACTGTTGTGTTCTGTCGGCTGGGAGCCCTCCCTGCTAGCCGAACACCATGATTACAGCTGGCGGTTATAGCCGCTGGCAATGATTACATGAAAAAAATCTGACAGGCTGGTTGTACTAAGGTCGTTCAATGGATCGACTTCAGTACAACCAGCCTGCCCATAGAAGGATTGAATCTTGGTCGGTCCCTGCTGATAAATTAGAACAAGTCCAGAGATAAACTACTAAAATGGTGAAAGGTCTGAGGGATAAAAGGATATCAGGAGAAACTTCAGGAACTTAATATGTGCAGTCTGCAAGAAAGAAGGGAAAGGGGACACATGATTGAAATCTTTAAATACATCAAGGGGGTGAATATTGTTCAGGACTGCAGGCTTTTCAATATGAAAGATGATCAAGAACACAAAGAGTTGACCTCAAATTAGCAGGAGGGATGTTCTGCTAAGAAAGTATGTTTTACCAAAAGAGTAGTTGATGCTTGAAATGATGCGTGACAGCTACTTCAGTAATCTACTCTTGTTTCTGGGTCCCTTGCTTAGTGGCTACAGTCCTTACTGAACACAGGAGGTTGACTGCTAAACACAGGCACCATTCAGAGAATGCTTTGCATTTTGTGAATAAATGCAATGTGTCCTCTGATTGGACGAGGCAAAGAGACAGGAAGGTGAAGTCCCTGTCAGCTCTAAGCCCAAGAACTGAGCAATCACATTACCACTGATTGCTCAGTTCTCAGTCCACTCTGCCTCTCCAGTGCTCACCGAAGTGCTGAAATGGGGACTGGGTGGGAATGACTGGCTTAGGCTCTCATCGGCGCATTAAGAGGTTGAGCCATCTGGCGATCAGGCATTTGGGCAGATCCTGACATTATTGTCGGGATCCTTCCAGTAGCCTGGAGTGTCCCTGTGACATCAACCAACAGCGATATTTATCCAGCTGTTGGCCAGTTTCAGGTCACAGGAGAACTACACTCCAGTGACCGACAAGAGAAGTACGGCCAAGAAAGCTTTGGCTATACTTCTATTTTAATAACCACTGGCTTTTTATTATAAAAAGAATTAAAGGCCAAAACTTTGGAATATGTTTCTCTTACTTTTTGTTATAAAACATTGAGAATAAAAATGCCAGGTCACTATGAACACCCTAAAAATGACCCTTTTTGGAAGGTAGGCACTCAAAGATCTAATTTTTTTGCCACTTTTTTTGGAAATGAAGAAACATGCTGGCATTGAGGTGGTTAATGAAAAACATTGGTTTCTCTTCAAAATAATATACAAATTTTCCATTAGAATAGAATCTCAAAGACAGCCAAGGAACTGGCTTGGGACCAAACTGTACGCTGTTATAACTGCTGTAGGGAAATTAGATAGTAAGTTCCTCAGGGACAATAACTGATGTCAATAGTTCTGTGTAAAGAGTTTCAGAATATGGGTTCTACGGGAAGTAATAAAATATGAGGCTACAGCTCACATTTGGCAAGCTTTGCCGCAGTACAGGAAAGACAAGAAGGCTGGCAAGACCTTTGGCGAAACGAAAAAGTCCTTGTTGGATTATCATAGCATGTTGCCTTACCTGTACAAGACATACTGCATAAAAAATAAACAGAATATATAATCAGCATCTGCTTTGGTTCTATTTATGTTGAAACATGTTTGAAATCCTCTAAGGTGAAGTGATGTATTTCACTGTGAAGTAAACTAAGGAAAAGCAGATGGTGCTGCTGTATGTTTAGCGCACAAGTCCCCCAAGGGAGTTCCATGACATGCCAGACCTCGCTAATGGAAGTGGCGCACATTGGCTCTGTCTTTTTTACACGGGCATCTGAGAATGGCCTCAGTTTTTCCCCTTCGGGGTTAACAAGGAGAGTTGTTTTTTTTTTCATATTCTTTTCTTTATAAATAGAAGAGACATAAATAAGGTGCCAGGAGCCCCTTTGAAATAAAGTGATACATCGCAAGACCTGAAGAGGGATTCATTGCAGCTGCCAAGTCTACTGGGAGAAAGTCAGGCTATCACGGTTTCGCTTTTTCGAGTGCATTGTTTACTACCTTTGCCAGCCTTTTAAAGGGCTCCCTTGGGTGTCATACACTAGAGGCAGCCACTTGTAGAATTATGCTCCAGACAGAGATCTAAGGTTGCGGCTTTTCCTGCTTGGAGACCTCAGGCACATAGAGGATTACTGCCAAACAGTCTTTGTTTTACAGAGAGGAAAAGTAGGCTGGAGGTTTGGATGATGAGATTTTGGGTCTGGAACACTGTGCCCTGTTTCAAAAATATTTTTTTTACATGAGTTTCTTATGAAAGTCTTAATGCAATATTAAACCCAAAACCAAAAATGTAATATATTACTGCTTAATAATCAATAGATGTGGTGGCTGCATAACTTTTCTTTGGCTTTTTTTGGTTTTCACCTGGTGATCTGGCCAGTAATACACCTCCTGTATTAGTGAGATACCACTTTGGGGGACTGAACACAGGGGACATCTTTGGACAGCAGCATTGACAGTCTGGGAGGAGGGTAGTATTGACGTCAAACTCCAGCTAAGACCGCTACAGCAAACAGTTTTTTTTTCCTTTGGAGGTAAAGGTTTTACATGAACAAATAAAAGCTATTGGCTGCTGATGCTGTCAATTACAGCCAGTGAGCCTTTAAGAGATAAAGTGCAGGGTCGAGCTGTGGCTCTGTGTGTGAATGGACACACAGAGCAGTTGCTCGGGAGCAAGCCTACTTGGGTGCCCTCGTAGCAAGCTGCTTGCTGTGGGGGCACATGGCAGGAGGGAGGGACCAGGAATTCCAGCTGGGTATTCGAGAAGAGGAGGATCAGGGCTGCACTGTGCAAAACCACTGCACAGAGCAGGTAAGTATGACATGTTTGTTATTTTTTTTAAATTGCCTTTTACCTTCCTGGCTGTCTGATTATGTCAATATTTTTGAATGTCAAAGTGGTACATTGTTTTACATGGAAATTTCAATGTCTGATGACGAATTTCCCCACGAATCACTATCGCTCAGTTCTGCAAGTGATTCTAATTCACTATCACTGTTTTCTAGTCTAACAACGATTTTGACCTAAAGGGATGCTTTTTGGATACCATGGACGTTCTCAAGTTTCCAGGCAGAAAGAACGGTAAAAGTGCAGGCAGGGCACGAGATCGTGTGATACGCATTAACAGGTCCTGTATTCATGTCCTGGTGTTTTGTGTGTCCTATGGATCAATAAATACACACTATATTCATCCTCCGATGTGCAGCTGACCCTTCTTCTTATTGCAGGCAAGGCACTGGACAAAGCACTAGGGACAAAATTGAGGTGAAATGGTTTGATACAGTAATGTAATCCTAAAAGATTACAATGTATTCTGTGTATGTCATATTTTTACGTTTTTGAATCTCCCGCTGGTTCCGCCCCCATGCGTCACGGTGCTCGCAGGGACAGGAACCCAGAAGACGGATGCCGGCATAGGCCGGAGGACACAGTGGGAGGACATCGGGGGATCGCAGGGACAAGGTAAGTTACAGTACACACACACACTACAGTGTAATCCTGAGTGTGGCTCGAGGTTACCACTTTTGGTACTGAAAATTAACCCCGAGCAGGGGCGGACTGACCATTTGGAAACTCGGGCACCGCCCAAGGGCCTAGGGTCAGTAACGGGCCCCATGAGATGCCCCTGGTACCTTTTTCATAGGCTTTTTGAGTTTGGGCAAGGACACAGGGGCCCCATGATCCCCTATGGTCCGGGGGCCCCATGAGTTGTCAGTCCGCCCCTGACCCCAAGTCACACTCGGGATTATCACCAGGGAGGTTAATATCACTTTAAGATAAAAACGTTTCTACCATGAACTTAACCAGTGCTATAAATCAATTGCAGAAACATATGTATGAACTATTCAGAGGGCAGGCTTGGCCCTCCCTCTTCTCACATGTCACAGCGATCAAGGAACGATGTGTCAGTGTCAGCGGCAGTTAACTAAAGCTTTACTGTAATTACTGCTGGCATATCACTTCACTGACCACTGAATCATATATACACTTTCCACAGATCAGTATATTAAAGTGCAGTTTGAGTTCATTTAATTTCTAAAATTTTAAGCCCTGATGAAGGGGGAGTTGTGTTGTCCCAGTTTGGTTTGGTGTGATCCTGTTAAAGAACCAATAAAACATTTAGGATACTTAGGATATTTACTTGATGTGGTGATCCTGTTGTATTCATATGCTTTGCTGTGTTGTGTGGCAAGTCTGTGTACAGCAAAAGATTAAATGAACAGTGATACACAATATTTTGCAAGCAATATAGTTCTTTTATATGTCTTACATCTGTATGTTCATGGGTTTAGCTATAGATCTTTTCCACTTGCTCACTAACGTACAGCCTTCAGCTAACAAACTTTCATTAGCTGGGTCAGGCATTCAACTCATGGGGCCCCTGGGCAATAGTTGATCATGGGGTCCCCAGGTTTAAAGATGGCCACCACTAGGCAACCATCTTTATGACGCAACATTAATGTGGTAGGCATGTGCCGAGGAGCACCGAGCTTGGCGACATGCAAAGTGGCCGGAGACTTAAAGCTTTGTGATCCAATAAAAGTACCAGGAGCCTCTCATGAGTAGTGCCACCTTAACATCATGGGCCCTTGGGCAGGGTAATTCTCCGGGGCCCTTGCCAGGGAGATGATGACCAGCAAAATTATGCCACATATTGAGTGTGGCTTGTTAGTCTGATTAGTGCAGTGGGTGGGGGAAATAACTGGAATCAATCTTGTATGTCTTTTACTGCAGCAACTGGAGCAGGAGATGTTGGCTTTCAGCTGAGAGCCACAAAAGATTGTTTTCAGGTATTCCCCTACCCGCTTTATTGATCACCCGCTTTATCCACACACAATCCCCCCTACTAAGGGGGGATGCAGGGGTCCCATGCACCTGGAGGCCAGTGCAAAAAAAGGATGGCCCTGCTCACGGGGCCTCTTACTGGGTCCTGGCCAGGGTCCAAATGGTCAGTCTGCCTGTGGCCAGGCAAAGGGGCAGGCAGAAGATGAAGTTGCCTTGGGTGCTTCAACAGGAGGGGGAGGTGCACAGAAAGGAAAGGACCTGCAACCTAAGCAGCTGGGTTAGTTCACAGCTTATGGCAGGACTCACTTTTGACTTTTTCACATTTGGCTGCTAAAAGACCTTGTCCTGCCACTGTCCACAGGAGAGCCAAGGGCTACGTGAAGCTTGATAACTCATCAGAGCTCAGCAGTGCTAAGATTGACGGGTTGTTAGAGGTGATGCTGCTATGGAGTAGAACAGGTTCATCTTCAAAACATTACAGCTGCCTTGATTAAAGAACACTAAAACGTAGAACCAGCAAGATAAATTAGTCCTAATTATCCACAAAAAAGTGTTTCATGTTCCTTTTTTTACCGTTCTCTGTGATTTGCATAGTTGTAATCCTTTGATATATACTCTTCTAGTCTCTAAAATATACCAGCGGGGAGAAACCATTGTGCTTTACTAGAAACCTAAATCATTATAACTCATTAACCACAAAGGGTTCCCCTAACGGGGAAAAAAATATAAAAGTTTGCAAAATTACTTCCAAGTTTATAAAACATTTCGAGAGTAGCAAGTGAATTGATTAGGGATGCCAACCAGGCATGCCCTCCCCACAGCTATGATTTCTAAGAACATAAATGTGACAAACAGTCGGTGGGAAGCTGTACCTTTTCTTTGATTTTTTGCAAATAAACATTGACTTGTAATACAACATAGGACGTGCTTTGGCTGTGTTGTGTTTACACGCATCCATGGCAGTTTCAAACATGTAATATTCATTGGGAGTGTGGACGGTCATATTGATCTGAGTGCCAGCTGCATTAAAAATACATTCTACTATGCTTGTATGAGGGTTCACAGCACTCCAGTCTTGATGCATTTTACATGTAGATGGAATACAGCCAAAAAAGAATATCCATATAATTCAGGGAACGTTCTCTGAATATTCACTGGCTGGCAGGATGAAAGGATTGTATTGAGCTGAGGGGGTCAATACACACAAACGCTGTCATGGCGTTGGCTTCACAGTGCACTTCTTTGGGATGATTGAATATAGGCGCCACTTGTGGTTTATGGGGGATGGCCATAAGGCAGAGGGAAAGCCTTCTCTAGGTATTGATCATGCTAGGTAGTGGAAATTTCTCTAGATGCCTCTCCATGGTTACGCTGCAGCTCTAAAGATGGGTCTTATAGAATCGTCACTCAGAGTTTTCCCCTGGACAGGACATCAGGACTCCATTTAGCCAAAAAAATATGCCTGCATGTTAGGTAGGTGCAGTGTGGTGCAACAGTAAACATACAAAGGCCTGGAGTGCAGTAACCAATGTATTGAAGAACTTGTAAACAGTACAACAACCAGGCGGGAGAGCTCACACAACTGGGAACTTACAGTCAATGCAGCGGACAGTCAGCGGTAGTGGACCGAACTGAAGACAGCACTTGCCAAATGGGGTGGAATTTGGCTTGAATGGTCCAGCCCAAAAGGGAGCTTGCTGAAGTGCAGGCCCGGAGCTATCCCTAGTCTTCCAGAACCTGTCTCTATCACTAGTGCTGTCCCTGGCAGATGGGTATGCTCTCCATACACTAGGCACTTTGCAAATGTGTGCCAAAACGTAGGGGCAGAGCCTTAAAAAAACTCTGCTTGACCCAAAATGGCCACCAGGGTCACCTGGATGCAGGGTAGCCAACCTGAACTGAGGGAACCATAGAGAAACCTCTTCATGTCCTCTACTTTTCAGCTGTCTATTTACATAAGACTCTGTTAGATATGTGCATAATGGTGACTTTGTGCCAAAGGCAGCCGATTGGTGAGAGGAATGCAGTAAGCACCTTTGTGGGTTTGAAACCAGCTGTAGGTTGGGTTCTCAGGTTCTATGTCTTATAAGTCCCAATTTCTTTTGTGAAACATTGAAAATAGCTTTATCTGTGGATAAATGTGCAAATTGTCAGATCTGCAAATGCAAAGTTATGTGTTCAAAAGATGGGGCAGCTTGATTTAAAGCCTGATTGGTGTAGTTGATTACAAGTAGTTCACGTGTGTGGTTGTACCATGACTGGAGGACAGTCACCTTAGGAGTGTGTCCTGTCATCAAGGGAAAATGTGTCCCACCTCAACAGTTTGTTACAGCAATATGAAAAAGATTTAACAGGCCAGTGATGGGTGTAGAGAATAGGCAAGCTGGTGAATCGGGATTGTGGTCTGCCAGGATGATAGGTACTCTACAAATTAATTTGCAAGGCAGTAAAGGAGGAATTGGTGAGACAATAGCTCTGCCATAGCAGGAGTGAAAGGTTTGTGGTAGTATAGGCAAGGGAGCTTTGCAGCTGAAGGGCTGTTTTACGAATAGGCATAGACATAAAAGGTACATGAGAATACACCGTTGAAGGTGAAGCTTTGACTTCAAGGTGAAGAGATAGGAGTTGATAGCTGGGAATGTTGGCGAGGCAACAGCTCCATCTTGGGATGTCTAATGGTTTGGTGCTTTCCGGAGAAGGGAAAATGATGTTGGGGATGAAGCTGATACTTCTCGAGTAGGGGGTCCCTGGGCTTTAGGTGAGGGCAAGAGTTGCATCTTGGTGTCTTCTTATGTAGTTTGCTTGCCAATATAACCCTGACAACACTGGTGTTTTTTTAAATATGGGGATCAGGTTTGCATATTACCTGTACAGCCTTTCCAATGGTTCTTATGCCAGGGTTCCAACACAGAAATAATAGAAATCTAAACAACCCATGCAATTTTAACCACCAACAAGATGGTATATCATGCCTCTAAATCACAGCTGTTAAACTATGCCTATTGACCCAAACCCACCAATTGCCACAGTGTGACTTGGGCAATGCCAACCCCTACCCTCACCCCTCTTTCCCTATGGCTTTTTGTGAACACAAGGTTTTTGGCAGCTTTAATTATTAGTAATATTTATTACTGTTAAATTATAAAATGGCTTGTGTAGCAATTATATACAGTGTTTATATAATGTATATATATATATTTTAAAGCAAAAGTTGTTTTTTTTTCTCTAAATTAGCCCAATATTTACAATATGCAAAATGGATATTTCTGCTTTCATTTTTTAGTATTATCTGTTTACATGTCATCTCCCGATGCTATAATACGCTTTTACAGTTGGCTGTATAATATCACAATTTTAATATTTGTAATCTGGATTTATATCTTTACGACTGAGCTGTTTGGCACATCGTTGTCTTCGATAATATCATTTCACAAAAGCCTCTTTCAAACTGTAAACGCTAATGCTATTTTTGAAGCCCTTTTATTGCCGCTTTTCTTAATTCTCTCTACAGGCTTGAGCTGATACAGTGTAAAGTTTAATTTGTTAGTAAGAGCTGCCAGTGGTTGCCATAGCGATGCTAGCGGTACAGGCTTGGGGCCTGCTCTGTAACAGATGTGAAATCACAAAGTGTGACACAGTGATTTTATTCCTCATGTGAGGACTGCAGTCTTCTAGTTTGGAAAGACGAAACTCTGTGTTAGTGAATGATTTTCTGCAGTTTGGCCCATGATAAGACATCCATTCTACTAATGACTTTTAGGGGAAAGAAATTGGCCGTAATCTCAAATAGTATCTAATTTCCGTGCTTATGGAACAATTGTATTTGTTTAAAAAATGTTGCTGATGATTTTTTACTAATTGTGAGTAGAATTAACTAAGGGCTCTTTTAGACATACAGTACAGTTGGAGGAGGGCTTTGAAAACATGTGGTTGAGCTACCCCCCCTTTTTTAACCTGCAAAGGCAT